TAATTTTTTTTCTCCCATGTCCCCTGGGGGGCTCCGTAAATATTGTATAGCCTGTGTGTTTTGCCCTATACATTTAATTTCCGTGCATGTTTCACGTTTAATTAATTGGTTGTGGAAAAGATTTGAGTCAATGTTTGAGAGTCATTGACAACAAGAACAGAAACTCATTAACTGATGTTAAATACCTGGTGCCGCTAATCTTTCATCTTTTAGAAAAGATACGTTTAAAAAAATCATTAATTATGAACAATGAAATGAAAGCTAGTTTTGCCAAACTCATTGACATTGACCGCACAAAACCTGTGCAGAGTCATATTTTATTTAATGTCCACGATTATCGTTCAGCGTGACACAGACACAGTGAGAGTAGCTAGCTAGCGTGGCATCTAATGTCAAGCTATAAACAGTCCCGCTAGCCATCTACCTAGACACTTTCGAGCATTGAGAGTGCATGGGTGCTTGAGCTAACCATTGTATTTGACTTTTACCTTAACGATAACGTTAGAGTAATGAGCTGTTTACGCGAGTTTCGGTGCAGAAATCGAGTTATGTTAGCTACAAGAGAGGAAAAAACTAGAGCCACTGGCTTTTAGCTAACGTTTCATTTGCCGCACACACCCATACTGTTAACAAGAAAGCGGTATCTAAATAGGGGAATTCGTGTTTTAGGCCTCTTACCTTACTCAAGGAAAAGACTCCTGAGACAGCATTCCTTCTTCTCTAGGCTAAGGAAACATTTACCATAGTTTTGTTTACAATGCTCGTCACATTACGCGTCAAGCGCAGTTCCGCTTTCAGAACCAATTACAACATCGGTTCATTTAAGCCGTGGTCCGCGGACGCTGATAGGTCCTGTCAGGCCTCCAAATTAAACTACGTATCTTTCTCACAATACATATTCTATTCTGGATAATGTAATTCAACTATAAAATTATCAATACCAGTAGCTTCTATATGTAGAAACAATGTTTTGTTAATTGGGGGGGGAAACGACATATTCTGCTGTACTGTAATTTTAGGTTTATATTTTTCATACATAAAACAGAATCATAAAATATTCCCGAAATTATTTTCTTCTACCAATTTAAAATGTACTTTAATTAAATTTAAAGGTTTCGCCAATTAATTTAACAATAGATTAAAAATAAAAACAAAAACAACAACTGACCAGCCACTTTATTAGTTACACCTGTTCAACTGCTCAAGGTAAATTTCTAATCAACCAATCACACAGTAACTACTCAGACGTGTTAACTTGGTCAAGCTTGCCTAAAGGTCAAACTGAGGATCAGAACAAGAAAGGAAGGTGATTTTGAACACTGTGAGGTGGCAGACAGGCTGGTCTGTTTCAGAAATTCATGGTCTCCTGCCACACAACCATGTCTAGGGTTCACAAAGAACGGTCTAGGAAAGAGTTCATATTCAGTGAAGGACAAAATTTGGTACAAACAACATGACATTGTGTATCCATCCTGCCTTGTATCATATGTTGGTGCAGGTTGTGTAATGATGTCAGAAACGTTTTCTTGTCACACTTTGGAACAATGAGTATTATTGGTGACCATGTCCATCTCTTTATAGCAAGTGAATCCATTTTCTAATAGCTTCTGCTAGCAAGATAATGTTCCATATCAAAAATCTAGATCAATGACCATGACAAAGGGATTACTGTACTCATATGACCTCCAGCCAAACACGATCAGGGCACCTTTGCAATGTGACGGAACAGGAGACTTGCAATACGGATGTGTGTAGTCGACAAATCAGAGGCAACATTGTGATGCTATCAAGACCAAAATCTCTGAGGAATGTTTCCAGCACCTTGTTGAATCTTTGGTTCAATTAAGGCAGTCAATAGGGTTCCAACCTGGGTACTTTTAAACAGTTTCTGTTCATGGACTCAGCCTTATTCATTTCCACTTAATCATGCCTTTTTAAAAAAAAAAAAAATGTGTTTAATGTGATCATTGAAGCAAAATACATTAAAAAAAAATACACAACCACAAAGTAAGCCATACTAAAATTACTTTATTACAGCTGATTTCTGTTCAATATCCCTCTGCCCACACAATAGTAAATACAATACAAACAATATAGTAAATTTGATCCTATTTTTTTAATTCTGCTCAATATTTGTACACAATTTAAATCCACTTTTTGTACTTTACCATATCTTATGTAGTATCTTCATAATCTCTCTGACATTCAATAACAAGTTCCACCATCTATACATTTTATTATAGGTTATAAGTTGTAGTGGTAATGTGGCAAACAATACTGACATCTTCAAAGAAATGCAATATCTTTTTCAGAATTTGCCTGTCACCCCATCATCTTTTCAAGCCTTTTTACTTTGGCCACTACACCAGAACCTTGTTGTTTTGTTTCATACATTACATGTGGTCAGCCCAATGATAGGTTACAACCATGGAGATGAAACAAATGCAGTGGTATCTGGGCTTGGCAACTAAGGTATGGCACAGTGTTGGACCATAAAAAGGATCGCTATTTTCTGTCGCTGATTCTCATTCAGTATCCTACATGCTTTCAGTCAGTAGGAGAAATATCTGAAAGTTAAAGTCAAACAAATAAAACAAAACAAAATCTAATCGAGGCTGGTGGAGAAGTCTTTCGACTGATAACAAAATCCAGGTTCCCTCACACAAAACTATGACACAAAAGTGAACAAAATGTGTCCGCATAAACAAAGTTGGCATCTATGTGAGGTCTGATCGACCTAACATTCAAACTCTTGGCCGTGGCCTATGAATATAGTAACAATCCAATAAAGATAAATACATTCTCATCTTCTTTACAACATGAATAACTCAAAAGAAAAAAAAAAGATGACTACAACCTGTTTTGTTACAGTAGCTGGAACTAATCAGTTGGCATAACAGAAAAAAAAAAAAGTTTCGGGTTCAAACCATATGTAACTTGATACAATGCATACTTTCTAGGCAGAATATATACATAATGAAAGTTAAAATCCCACCTAGAAAGAAAAATATCCCAGCATTTTTGTGTGTCCTCAAATATGATAGGAATAGAGCAACAAACAACATTCAGAAAGAGCCAGCCAGAAAGGGCGGCTCTGAATCAGAGTGGAATGGAGACAAATGGTCGAATGTGTGCAGCGACAGAACTAACTCCGCAGTGGTAATACTCAGAGATGGTGACTAAACGAGTGGTATTTAAAGATGATAGTAAAGGCAATTTGTCAGTGTACACAAACCAAGCGTAACATTGAGATATGTCCACACAACTTAACACCTAAACTCTGAGCGTGAAAGGTTTACACATGTCACTGTAGTCTGTCAGTTTTTAGAAATCATTTTCTTAAAATGTGGGTTTACATTTAAAATTCCTGTAATTAAAAAAAACAAACAAACAAACAAACAAAAAAAAAAACCATACACACGCATACACACACATAAATTCCAGCTTTGTGAGGAGGAGCAGTCACTTTTGCCAACTCCAGAGAATTATCTTTAAAGTGTTTTATATTCTCAGTGTCAAAATGCCAAGTCTCACTTGAATGGAGAGGCTGTTAAAAGGTAAAATGGGAACATCCTTCTCCAGCGATAGTTCATTAACTACAAACTGAAGAGAGAGAAAGAATGCAGACATGAATATAATTCAGAGGAGGAAAGGAAGTGTTTTTGCCACATGTATTTCGCACTTGGCTTGTGTGGGGTTTTTTTTTTGTTTTTTTTTTTTAACTGTGCACTGACTAAGTTTTACATGCTACAACGTCAAAATGCAAGCATGTGCTCAATTCAGTCACCCAAGTTTTGGGGTTCAATGACTTGGTGTAACATTATTAACTTAGCACCTTTTAAATTATTAGTGTTGCTTACTTGGGCCCAGTGTTTTCATATTTAGTTGTGCCAAGCCTGCTGTTATGGTCATGACAATTAACTCTAACTTCCTGCCTGCCATAATAAACTCTCCAGTTTAATCGCTTCAGTTCATAGAAACTCTAGCCAAAACATACGCGCACACACACAAAAAAAAGCACCATCCTCACATATTCTCTTCACTCTGAATTTAACATAAACACAACTGAGAGCAACAACAGCCATAGCTTCACTGACTGGCAATCTCCTTAGTTACAATTGTATTGGGTGTAGTTGTACTCTGTACTTGGGAAATTGCTCTAAAGAAAAAAAGAAAATGGATCACAGCACATCTAAGTCTGACTCCTAAACTTAACAATATGCGTACCAATGATCACTCACCAGGTGCTTTGCGAAAAGAAGTCAACTATTAAATCTCACACACATTTAGTTGTATAAAGTGCTTTGAACAAGGCAGCAGTTTTAAAAGGCACTAATAAAAATAAACAGATGTCTATTAGGATTCTTTATGAAGGCCAATAAGTCACAATTCCTTCTGAGAACATGTACAGTGACATTCTCTGTAACGCAAGGGTTTCCCCCTCAAGTACCATGTGAAGGCATGAGAACTGGTTGCAGATATGCACCAGCAATGTTCTGTTTCTCGACATACATAGGACTTAAACTGTACTGAATATGAGAATCTGAGGAAAATGTCTGAAAACCTGCTAAAATAGGCTAAACAAAAGAAGCTAACACTGATAAGAAATGGAAGAAGGAAATTTAAACTATAAAGATCTGAGACTAATTTCAGTTATCATAGGTTAAAAAGGCACTGTAGGATAGTTGTAGCATGTGTGAAACAGTTAAGACTAGATTATTTGGCTCTGAATCTGTAATGTTTCGTTTTGGTAGAGGAAAGAAAACTAACTAAGATAAGAGGAATCGAAGTCATCATGACGACCATTACAGCAGGCTGGCATCACAAGCATCTTCACTCACTCTGCTGCGTTCGTAACCACCATCAAACAATTGCCCAGTGTATTACTGAATACGAATGGGGAGAGTGAAGAAGGGAGGTCCTGAATAAAATCAGTTCTGTGATTGTTTGATACATTTAAAAAAAGGACAAAATTAACACATGTCAAAGGCTTTTAACAGTGTTTCATGTGCAAAATGAGAGCAATGGCTGTGAGTAGCACAAACTTATGTTTTTTTTGTTTCTTTATTTTATTCTTTTAAATCCTCCTTAGGAGAGAACTGTAACTAAACAAAAATGAAAGTAACATATTGACACTCAAACTGCTTATGCAACATAAATTTTAAGGATCTGTATGTGTGCCGATAAACTGCCGTGAGGGCGGGCTGTGCTTTTTCCAGCCCTTTTGACCTGAGCAACATTTATTTCATCACACATCCACATCTGTACATGGGAGAAATGGTAAATGGTGGGGTAGTGTCTGAGAAAGACGGAGCAATAGAGCTCTGCCTTGATGTGTTTTTAGATTCCCCGCACTTGGATTCTTGATTCCATGGCTGATGAGGGATCTATGTGTAGGAGAGGTGGGACCCGTTAGATATTTGAGAGGTCACACTGGTGCTCCTGCTCATTCCCTGCTCACTGTGCCCTCCCGAGGGTGTCCTTCCCATCCCCTGGGGGCTGTTCTGAATACCACTAGTGCGTGCGCCCAGAACTCCAGCTGATGGGTGGCCCCATGGTGTCGAATCCCCTCCTCCCTGTATGCCCTGTCCCCAGCCATGTTGCATAGATGCCCCTCCTGGACTGGAGTGATATCGATGGTAACTGCCTTGGTGACTGAACCCTGCACCTGAGCTGCTGCTGCCCCAGTGTGCACCTTGAGAGCTTCCAGATGGGTGCTGCTGCTGATGTTGACACCAACTTACTTGAGCCCCAGGAAAGTTATTGCCCATGGCCTCTGGAGAGATGTTTGATAGCACCATGTTGCTAAAGCCTAGGCGCATACTCTCAGAGTCAAAAGCCTCAACTTCTCTGGCTTGGCGTTCCAGCACGCTCTGGATTCGCGCTGAGCATTCATTCTGCAAGGACTGCATTTCTTCCTCAATCTATAGCAGAAAAGGAGGGAAAAAAATGAAATTCATATTAAACTGTTCGCAATATTGTTATGGCTTACAAACATGGCAACTAAAGTAATGTTCAGGACTCTTAAAATCCCAGGACGCTCTCTACTATGCCATAGTTTCCCCCCCTTTTTTAACCTGCTTAAAGGTAAATAGTAAACATGTACACAGTGGACATTATTGTTTTCCCTTTCTCTCATTTTAATCATGTTGCAGCTCGTATGGCAGGACGAATTAACTCTTTATCATTATAACGATGAGAAGGCCAATGACCTCATGTAAATCCCATCAGCACTTCACCCACATTGCATGTAAAACAAACTGGATTAACTGAAGGTAGGAGCATTTTGCCCCTTTACATCCAAACTCTGAGACTCAATAGCTTAAGAAAATATAAATGTAAATCTTAACATGAACATAATTTATGGCGGAGAACCTTTGTTTCCAGCAGGGCCCTTCGGAGTGACACCCTCTGCTCCAGATCTTTCTTTTCACGCTCATGCTGGGCATCTGTCTGCATCTTGATCTTGCTCTGGTAGGCGTTGAGAAGCTCCAGCTCTTGCTGTAGCTGCATTCGTAGGGCTTGGTACTGAGCCTCCTGAGTCTCATCCAGACGAAGCTAAGACCAGCGAGAAGATCACATTCAGGGCCCAAGCAGTAAAACATATACTCAACTATTACTGATGTGGCCATATCCATTACAGGTAAGAGACTAACAGTCTTACAGTTTTACCAGACTCACCGCCTGAGTAGAAAGCATTTCATTGATAGAGTGGTCATACTGCTCGGCCAAAATGGCAAGTTTGCGGTGCTGCTCTTGCTTCAGCCGTTTAAGGACAGCTTTGTGCTCCGACTTTGGTGTCGTCTCCAGCAGATGGTTCCTCAGTGCTTTATACTGCCTAGTCTGGATCTTGCAAGTGTCCTGGAACTGCTTCTTGATCTGTAGCTCTTTGGACTAGATTGTAGAGAAAGGAGTAAATACTATATGCACTATACTTCCCAACTATTATCTACAGATAATAGCTAGCATGCTTAGAAGTGAGGAAGTACAACCAGAAAACAAAGCATTACATTAAAGTAATTCTGGGTTACAGTCTATTCAGTTTGTTGCTGTTTTTTTTCATTAAAACGGTAAAATATCAAGAGGTATAAAGCTGGGCACTCCTAATTCTGAGGCTGACATTCTATTCCTAAATCTGTGCATCTTTTTTTCCAGCTAGTCCTGACCCAAGCATGATGAAGTATAATTCAAATAGTGCCTAGACAAGCACTTTTACTAAAATCAGCATCTGAATATTTAATATACACCCATGTTCAGAAACTTCTCCTGACCTTGAGACTTTTGGGTTGCTGGCGAACCTCCATAGCATGTTTGCGTCTAAGTTCTCTCTCCCTTCGCTTGTTGTACTCCTGCTGATTGGTAAGCTCCGTCTGGTGCTGTAGTCGGGTCAGCTCAGCCCTCGTCTTTTGGATGTTGTTTAGCTGGCGGAACTCCAACTCTTGCATGGACTCGTGGTGCCGGAGAAGCATAGCATGTTCCAAGTCCTTCTGGGTTTGACGCTTACTTAGCTCCTAATGATGTCCAAATGGAGATAAATAACATTTACAAGATAAGATTACTTCCAGAACAACAGACCATTTTTAGTTTGTGGATTACTTAATATTTGTAACATACAGTTCAACAGTATAGTGGTAGAGAAAGGTACAGACCTCTCGCAATAGATCCTTTTCGATTCTGTGGCGAGTAGTCAAAATCCTCCTTTTGAACCTGCGGCACTCTAGCTCCAGATACTGCCTCTGTCTGCGCTGTAAATTGGCCTCTTCTTCTGCTTGATAGTTTTGGAAGTTCTCCTTCTGTTTGGACAACCACTCCTGCTTTTCTTTCTTGGGAGTTGACTGGTTTTCATTCAATTCCTAAAGTAATAACAGACTGAAGGTCACTACCAGCACTTAATTTATACTGATTAATGTTTACTAACTGCTAGTTTAAAAAGAAAAAAGAAATCTGTATGTATTTCTGTGTCTGTAACACCAATCTGCCTGCCTCTTTAAGTTGCTCCTTGCGAAGTTTGTATTCCCGTTTCTGGTTTTCAAGAAAGCTGTTGAGCTCTTTTTTCTGTTGACTCTGGATGTGTTGCTGGAACTTCTTTTCATCATTGCTAAAGGTTTTTGCCTGATAAAGAAACAAATATAATCAGTTTTTTCTATGCACAATAACAGTGAGTGAATGATAACACTGACAACACACTTAATGAACACTTAGAAGCTGAAAGCATACATCTTTCTCCATTGACGCTTGGTGTTTCTTGATCAGTTTCTCCATCTCTTGGGCGAAGCTATTCCTCTGATTCTCCAGTTCCTTGTCCAGACGGAGTCTGTTCTCGTCCATTTCAGTCTTCAGCTTGTTTTCAAGAGCCATCAGCTGTTTTTGATGCTGTCGCCTCATGCGCTTGTAGCCTAATATCTGCTCTCTTAACTCAGAATCTTGCTCATGCTCCTTAATCTGGCGAGTGAGCTAGCAAACACAAGACAAAATACTTATCTTTAGACATGAAGTTTATAAGGCACACAAGTATTGTGAATAGATTTAATTGCAAGCTTGTTCAAAACACTTCTGATGATTACATGAAAAAATATATTGCTTGCCTTAAGGTAAACGCTTCTAATAATCACGAGGACACTGGGTGAAAATATTTTTGCCTTTTTACAATCACAGAAACACCCAGCAGGTATATGCATGGTTATCTGAGATATTAAACAGTTCGTTAGCAATGATGTACAAATGAAATGACAGCATCATTACCACTGAAGCTGTGCGTATTGTGGCAAAGTGTTCACGGTTTCTTCTTGGCCGTGGCGTGTGTGGAGGAGGGGACTGCTGCTCAGTTGGCTGGTTGTGAGTCTGTAAATCTTGGTTACACGTCTCTTCTCCCTAAAAGGTGCACAATAATACAGACATTGCAGGCTATTTAGAACCAATCTAAACAATACTCCAGTGAGAATAATACTAATAATACTTTACTCAATGAAAAGTGAAAGAAAGATGTCTTACTTGTTTGACATGTATGACAGAGCTGTTGGACATTACTGTGTGGTCCCCTTCGATGTCTGCCTCACTTTTGTCATCGCCTGCATCTGTTAAACTATTAACAGAGCTGCTCTGCGAACTGGCACTGATTGACATACTGGGGATGGATTGGTTGCTCCCTACACTGTTCACTGTACCGGTCCTACTCACACTTGGTTCTGGCTCCTAAAAGTAAAATAAAGTAGAAAGTAACAAGATTACAACACATCTTGTGTCAGAGGACACAATACTATGAAAGGCAGAGAGGCAAGCAAGGAGGGGTTAACACAATTTCAAACAGACCTCCTCTTCATCTTGTGTTGTTGGGCCATTGTGGACTTCCTGAAACAAGATCTTCTTCATCTTCCGATACTGCAGATTGTCTAGCTCCCGTACTGCATCCTTTGTCCGGCTTATCAAGTCTATTAAAACCGATTCCGGTCGCTCACGCTGGACAAATGCATGCTGGACGAGCAACAGAAAAGCCATTTTGCGTTAAATTCATGAATTTGTCTATAAGGATTCATCACAATAACAAATTGGTCACAATCATTTTTGGCTGATTACCTTTAGAAGCTCCTCAGAGTTTGGCCTATCCTGGGGTAATTTCTGAAGGCAAGAATCTACAAAGTTTCGGAAATAATCCGTCCTACAGTTGGGAGATCATATATGAACAAAGTTTAGAATGTAGAAGAACAACATAAATAATAAATAGACATTATTCAATTTGAAAAACAAAATATGGATCCAATTCTAAACTCACCATTCACTCGACTGCAGTGTGGGGCTGTCATTCTGTGCTATATGGTATAAGGCACTCATTGCATTCATGTTAAAGAGTGGCGGCTTCCTCTCAGCTATGAACCAAGAAACAGGTTACATTAAGAAATGCATACAAGGAAAGTGAGGATGAAAGAAGAAAAAGCCACATCAGTAATTGAATGAACCTAATGGTGTGAGAAACACTGCTGCTGACTGTGAGCAGTTAACTGAAGTTTAAAAGCAGATGTGTGAATTCTAACAATGCAACAGCAAAGGAGCTAGGACATACCTAATTCAATGCAGGTTATACCCATAGACCAAATATCCACCTTTCCATCATATTCACCTTCATCCATGGCTAAAATTACTTCTGGGGCCATCCTGAAAAAAATAACAAAAAACTAAGAAGGCATCACATTCACAATGCTAACTTCATATTCCAGTGGAAGGCAGGGATGTGAAGCTGCAAATGGGCACCTGACAGCCGTCGCTACGTGACAGATCTGAATCTCAACAAGTAAAAATTGAGTTGGCCTCAACTCTGTTCAGGCAATGCACTTTATCCATGACGCTGTAAAAATGTCGCTGGCCATGATTGGTCACTGGTAACTTGGCTGCTCGCAGTGTGAAAGTAGCAATAACATTAGTCTGGCAGCATTTCTTTCCATATTTAGTGAAAAGAATGGGGATTTAGAAGGTTTTTTCACATATAGATGTTAATTATGTTTAATATGTGACAATGTTCTTGTAAACAGATTGCCCATCTGTTAAGAAGGAGACAGGGTATATACAGACATATATAGATAAATTATTATAGTAAGATGTTTTGAATTTTACCAATATGGAGTCCCAACGAAGGAGTTCGCAGGACAGGCGATGGAAGCAGAGCCAAAATCTGCTAGTTTTACCTGCCCTGGCTCTGTCAGCAAGATGTTTCCTGCCTTGATATCTCTGTCAAACACATGAGAGGAAATGGTTATAGCAAGACGTAGAAGACACAGTGCATGAGGGCTAAAGCAATCTGTGCACAGCATGCTCCTAAAAAAAAAAACTTGAAACACTCACCGGTGAATCATAGTTTGGGAGTGAAGATAAGCCAAACCTTGAAGAGCACCATGTGTAATTGCAGCTATTTCAACTTCCTGCAGAGGTTTCTTGTGAACTGAAGAAGGTGTATAATAAGTGATGTAAATCAAGAAAAAAGGTGATGGGGATAAAAATGGCAAATACAGGAATGTAATTTCTTCCAGGGTTTTCCACTCACCTTCTAACAAATCGGAAGCAGAGCCAAGGCAATACTCCATTACCAGCTGTAAGGAAATCAGAAGTGCTTTGTGTGAATTTATATTTGGCCCTTAAATAATTAATAAATATTAGTCTTACATCAAGATCATCATCATTAACACAATGTTGTAGAACCTCACCCATGCAGTGTGCTCTCGTAGGTAGCATCCTTTGTACTCTATGGTGTTTGGGTGTTGTATTCGTTGCAGGAATTTCACTTCTTTGATTATGTCTTGCCACTTCTGGGACAACAGTAAAACAACAAAAGGACTGTTACAGCAAGAACAAGTTTATTCATGAATAAACAGTTTATTAACCTAATATAGAACATTTGAGGTCATCATACCTCACTGGATTGCTTCCCACTATATGACATCTTCTTGATGGCCACCACATCATTTGTCTGCACGTCCCGTGCCTGAATAATAAACACATTACATAAAACTGATTGTCAAGATTTTTGTGATTTAAGCTACGACGAGATAAATAAGGCAATATAATAAAGGTCCTACTTCCATATAGCTTAATTAACTTTGCATTATGAAACTGTAAAGATTAAATTATATCTATGTGCTTTGAATCAACATTAAAAAGCCCCATTGTGATATCATGATACCTGAGCCAATCGGTATTAAGTCACATGCACAACAGCTACAAGCAGACATGTTGGGGCAACATGGGAACAACATTATGGTAATCAGTTCTCTCTAAGCTGACTAACATAAGCAAAGTTTAGGCGTAATATCTGTATTAAAACCTTCTAAATCCATTACACGCATCTAATTGATTTGTGGGTATGTCTGTATGCATGTGTTGTTAAATACTCACAAAATATACAGCACCAAAGCTGCCATGTCCAATTTCATGAAGATCCGTAAAGAGCTTTTCTGGGTCCTCCTTGAAGAAGAGTTCAGCAATTTCGGGGTCCTTGAGGTTCCCCGCCCGACTGTTATTGGGCATAATTAGGGGTTGGGGGCAATGCCGCTGCCGCCAGGAACTATCTGGGTCTGCGACAGCGACGTGAAAGCCCCCACTGATGACTCATCTGCAGGACAGTGGTTTCATATGTGTTCAGAACTGAAAGTACAAGAAAAAAACAAGAGTAAACACACTAGCAGAGATGTACACATGCATTGCTATTCTAAATTAGAAAGCTACAGCAACACTGTATGGACTGTGAAGCACAGCACACTACAAGAAAAGGAAAGCTGGATGTTATGAAGTAAGATTCACTTAAATGCTGAATTACTAATAATACTTCTTAACACTGATTATATCATATTAGAAGGCTATATAAGTGAGAAAGCTCTTAGTTGTTCGGATGAGCAACAGACATGCCTAATAATGTGGGCATGAGAAGGCTAAACAAAGCATGAACTTAACCATGATGTCAGAAATCCTGAGGTAGCAAGAGATAAGTCTCCTGTTTCCATAGTAACCACAGCAATGAAATCAGGCCAACAAAACTGGCCTCACACCTTCAGTGACTGGTGTGTACACAAAAAGATGTGAGGAGGATACAAAGACGTGCCTGAGAGCTGCCCATCTCCAGCCTGAACGTGGAAGAGAAATTGAGCACCTTCACAGTGTTAATGACTGAAGGAAAACTCAGTATTCCAGTGACGGGATGACTGGTTAAACCTGCAGGTACATGGAAAACATTCTCAAACGCAGCAAACAGCGTACATGCATCTTCCTAAAAGTGATCAAAGGGTTTGTTCAGCAAAAAAAAAAAGTTTATTCAAAGGTTATATTTATTAGTTTATTAAAAGTATTGTTTGAAACCACTTATTCAAAGTGGTGTCATACCACAGTAACGGCTTAGTTTTCCTTTGCCCTGACTTTGGAATATCCACAACAGAAACACTCATTAGAATTAAAATAAATTACTTGTTTGTGATTCACACCATGTGGGAAAATGACATCTGAAAAGCAGCGTGCCTTTTCATAAGTGGTGTCTTACTGGAAGCAGTCAAGTGCGCCGCCTTCTCGTGAGTGTAAACAAATTCAACAAATAAATAAATAGATCAAAATAACCAAAAAAATAATCACAGTAGGGTGTGTGGATTAACATAATATATCAAAAGCTCAATATAATTTCACTGGGGTTATGGGGGTTAACATGGTTAGCTCTTCATTGTCAGCAAAGCCAATACCAAAATTATGAAAAAAAAAAACCCCAACAACAGTCATTTTGTTAGTTCGTTTTTTTCAGTACATCACAATAACTGCTCCATCGTGTAGTAACACATTCACCTTATACGCAATAGATACCTGGTTTGAGACTGAGTGGAGACACTAAACTTAGTTTAAGGAGTCACAAGCTAGTATAAGCCTAGTGCCAAGCAAAGATAAATGGAGAGGTTGTGTCAGGAAGGGAATGTAGTGTAAAATCTGTGCCAAAACAAACATACCGATCCATCTGCTGTGGCGACCCTTAGGAAATAATGGAGCAGCCAAAAGTCACTGGCAGAGTATGTATTGACTCTTCTGGAAGTGATGGGGGCAAAAACGCCTACAAGTGTTCCAGTCTATCTTTACATGATGAAGGAGGAGGAGGAGGATGCCCATGAGCCCAGGAAAAACTACACATGGAAGATGGCTACGACTATAGCGGCCACTATAGCGCAGGCTCTACTCATTGATATAAAAGGCAGTATGAGTAGCGTGTGGAACTACTTTGTGTTATTATCCTGAAATACACTAACCTTTTCTTTTTGGAGACACCTGGCACTGCCATTGTGAAATCACTCATGCACCTAAATGTTTGCAGTGGCTAACTATCAATAAAATGTTAACATTTTAAATGTTTTAAACCACCATGACAGTGATTTAAAATGACTTTTGTGCGATTAAAGGTATTTTATGTCCAAGTACATCAAATTGGGTATTGAGACTCGTGCAATTCTACTGATATTGATATCAACTACTAAATTTCAGGTTATCATGATGTCTCTGCCTTTTAAAAATACAGAAATTAATAAAAGATTATTACTAAGCCCGCAACACCACGCTCAATACGTTGATTTCCATTATTACTTTGAAACAGCTTCACTACTGTAATACTAATGTAGACTGTAAAAGATCACCGAGAAAAGTTTACTGAGTCCATTCGGCTCAGATGATCAGTTGCAAACAGATGCAAGGCTGACGCTAGAGTCACAAGACTTCTTTCCCAGCCTGGGAGAAACAGCCCCCAGTTCCAAGCAGACATCTTTTGTCTCACAACAACACTGAACAACTCACTATACTACACAGTTGTAGCCGCAGCTCTGAAATAAAGCCCCATTACCATGTGGGACTGTGGCTCTTTATTGCCATTGTTCTTCACTACATTGTTTCTCATGAATGAGCTTTGTTGTCATATCTCATGATAGCATTTTCAACTTGTGAACATGTGAGCACAAAAGAGAATGATGATAACTGATACTTTCATTAAACAAAAGAAGAAAACAACAAACACAGACAACAAGATCAACAACAATATAAATACCCTGGTGTTCCAACTTGCACAAATGCATGCACAAGAATGCAGCAGGACAGGACAACAGAACTGGAGGGCTGGAATTCTCAATGTATGCCCTCACTGCGCTGCATTTCACAGCATTTCCTGTTCGTGCAGCTATAGGGAGGTAGGAATGGGCCTTGCTGAGCATTTTCACTAGTGATTATCTGTCTATCTTGGTATTGCAGCAATGGCACGCCTTCTTAAGTGCGCCGCAATTTAATAAAGTAAAACATTTTTTCTTTCCATGTCCTAGAAGTAACTTAAAAAAAATACAGGTAGTTTTCATTACTTTGAAGAATCCATTAAACAAATGTAAACGTAATGGAGGTCATTTAAGACACCTCCGTTTGGCACGCCAATCTATGGCACAACATAGCACAGGGTTTACGTCTGTTTCACCCAAAAACAAACAGAAACGGCACTGTAACATTGTAGCCAGTGTATCTTTATGCCTTCAAGTATATTAAGTTAGTTGGTAACTAGGCACCAGTTACCCAAGAGGAATGAGGGCGATAGATCTGAAAACCTTTAAAATATCCAACGTTTGCCCAAACTAAGATTGGTGAGGCAAACAGTAGCGCAGCATTACCTGCTGCGTTTTTACCTGTCTCCTCCTCCTAGAGTTTCAAAACAACCGGAATTTCACAGATTATTTGGTTGGGATTCATTAAAAGTTAACACTTTCCCACAGCGGTTTTAAGCGTCGTGTTAAAAAAAATCACATCAAAAAGACGGAAATATAAAAAGACAGCAGCTTGGGAGTGTGATGTCATCTACACACACCAAACTTAACGTTAGCCAAGTTACGTGTCATATGGCGAAACAGCCCAAGCATAATTGGCGTCGTGTTTACGACGTGAACAGCTGAACATAAACATGGATAATGTGGAATTAAGCAACCTGTAAGAACTCGCTTATAAGAAAAAGCTAAATTAGCTGGCTAACGTTTGTTATGTTTGCTAAGTTAGCTTAGCCAGTTAGCTGAAACTCACCCTCTTTTGACAGGCCAGGCTTCAGCGCTGTGGAGAATGTCGCTAATTCAAAACAGTTTGGGATTTGAAAAGTATCCCCTCAGTTTCATCACCAGCGAGGCAACTTCGTGCGCCAAATCCTTGTGGTTCTTCACGCTGTCAGTCGATTATAACGCGCACATTTGTGAATTGTTACAGGTTAAAATCCCCACCCTTCAAGTAACTGGGGTGCCAGAGATCCCACTCCCAGACAGGTCCAAAGATGGCTGCCGAGCGATCCGCTGCCGCCTCCCTTCGTGGAAATGCGTCGGGGGAAATGTGAGGGAAGTTCAAACACCTCCAGAACCGCATTAAACAAGCCGCGATAATGTCCGCCTTATCGTTGGGGGAAAAAAACCTCGGGATTTAACCTCTCACACTGGCAGACTAACCGCAGCCGTTTAGACGTGTGTATGTGCCAGGCTGTCTGTGCTCCTCAGTGCAAACAGCAGTTCCGCCCTGCCTGTTGAATTTGCTGTAAACTCTCCCTGACCCATGTACATCCAGAGGCGGAGACACTGGAACATCATTAAAGAACACTGGACCTGCGATCACGTTCATATTTTTATCGAAGTTACTTTTAATAATTTCACTTTTGACATTTCTGGCATAAGATGTGAGTAGGGGGGGGACTTTATAAATTTAATATGTATTTTAAATGAAAGGACTTGGTTATCGATGATGGGGAAATACAAGAACATTATAGAACTGAGACAGACTGTTAGAGAGCCCAAAGGTGGATAGTAGCTGTATTTCACAGTAGTACTGTATATTCATGAGGCAGTAAAACATCTTTGGCTTATTACACATTTGCCTAACAAGGGAAAGCTGTTTCGATTCCGTGAGGAGACACAACTCTCTTGGGAGTTGCGTCAGGAAGGGCATCCGGCGTTAAACTCCGGCAACTCAAATATGCAAAGCAGCTACCCGCTGTGGCGACCCCTTGTGAGTAAGGGAAGCATTGTATGCAGTGTACTGTATATTAAATTTATCTATTTGTTCATCCATTCAGAAGTGGAATACTTCTTTCCTAATAGGGGCACCATTGTTAACTGTCTGTAAGCAACAACTCATTGCTCCACATCACTTTTTGTTGCTTTTGTTTTGTTTTCTTAAATAATAAGAACATGAAAACTAACAGAAAAATACAATAAATGAATGGATACACAAAGCCACCCAGGGGGAATGTTAACACAGACATGTAAGATAGGTTGTAGCAGTTTATCTATCACAAACGCAAGTTAACAGAAAACAAGTGATCTCAAGGTAATTTCGGTAGATTGTACAATGCAACAGAGGGTCTATATCTAACAGCAATCACATAATCACACTGTGGCCATGAGCAGCCACATGACTACAGTGGGGAGGAAAAACTCCCTTTTAACAGGAAGAGACATTTGGCAGAACCAAGCTCAAGGAGGAGCAGCCGCATGCTACAACTGGAGTTAATGACATGCATTTGACATGTAAATGTATTGGGTGTGACAAGAAGGAAATAGAGAAGGAATGCTCATTGTATCATAGAAAATCCCCTGCAAGCCTGAGGCTATAGCACAATAGCTAAGGGTCATGATCCAGCCCAGCTTTCTTAAAAAGGAAAGATTCATATGCTCATTTCTAATCCTTGCCACTCCATCCTGCTCACTCTCGTTAAAAATCTTAATATCTTCAGCTCTGCCACTTCCAGCTTGGCCTCCTGTCTTTTTGTTAGTCCCACTCTCTCCAGACCATACATCATAGCAGATCTCAATACCATCTTGTAAACTTTCCCTCTTTTGCTGCCATCCTTCTGTCACAAATCACCCCTGACACTGCCTGCACTCACTTTTTCACCACTCTTTGTGGACCATCTGTTGCTTTTGGTGGTTGATCCCAGATAATTAAATTTATCCACCTTCATAACATCTATTTCTTGCACTTTCACTGTTACACCCATCTCCCCCTCATTCCTCATTCCACATGTACTCTGTCTTGCTTCTACTTTTCACTCCACTTCTCTTCAGAGCATACCTCCACCTCTTAGGCTTTCTTTCTCTTCCTCACTACTCTCACAAGAGATCACAACATCATCTGTAAACACTGCAGTCCACAGAAACTCCTGCCTGACCTCATATATCAACCTGTCCATCACCACTGCACACAAGAAGGTGCTCAGAGCCTCTGTGCCTCCACCGAGGCACAGAGCAGCTCCTTTTGACCTCCTTTGCACCTCTTCATCAACACTATCAAAGCAAGTTCAAATAATGCTTATCCAAGCTTTTATTTTGAAGAAAAGCATTCCGGAAGACACGTCCCTATCGTGACGTTGCTGCAAGTGCGGAAGTAAATTAGCTGACATACCCACATGGTGGAAATGGCTGCTGATGGGGAAAAACAACAGGGCCACAGACCCGGCATATACAAACAAAAAAATAAAGGACACAAACATGGCAAGCACCGGACGAAAGGAGAAATTGAAAGGGAAAACAAAGGCAAGTCGCGTCCAGCTGCACAGCGTTAAACCTGGGGCTTACATGTGTGTTGTTAGCATGTAGCGGTTGCTTCTGCAAGTACACGTGTTGGGCTTTAAGTGCTCAATCCTTTCAGTACAGTATCTTATATCGTAGCACTTTTCTTTTAAAGGTATTTAGTGAAAGTCTGTATTCGCTTGCGAGCCTCGTTTGGTGTTTAACTGGAGATTGCCAATGAGCTTCAGCTATTTAAACGTGGTCCGGGGGTCTTCCAGATATCCAGTTACTGGAAAATCAGAGGACGTAACACTGTATTACACCGAGAAAGTTTATCATTAAAAACATTTTTGTTCTATTTAAATTCAAGCTCACATTCCGACTTGTACACGTTTTACACCTGATTTGAATGATCGTCAGATAGTAACACTACATGTCAAGCAGTACAGCAATGATAGTTTATGCTATAATTTAATGTTAATTTATTTTCATTCAGCGTAAAGCAGTACACAAACACATTTGGATACCGTGTAGCTTAAACAAATATATTAAGGCAAAAGTCTTATACCTGTAAACAAACCTAAATTTTGTGGATTAGTGAATTTGTCGGCATTTTACATTTATTGGAATGTCTGAGATACAAAGTAACGTGGACACTTTAATAAAAAATTATTTGAGCACACGTGATTAACATACAGCCAGATGACGCAATCGTGCCCTAAAGAGTACACACAATAACCCCCACTGCTCAATAAAAGCCAGGAATGTTGATTTAAATGACTGAAGTGTCTGCACTGCAGTTAAACTGGATTCCAACAGAGGGCGCTCCACTAATGTGTGAGAATAAATGTTTTTCCTCGATAAGCTAAAAGACCTTATGTATTATGGCTGATGGATAATCATCCAGCCGGCTTGTGCTGTTATTCAACATCATATATGCTGTCAGACCTTAGCAGTGATGTGTCATTCATCAATATATCAGGTATAAATAAACCCCAGTCTCAAACTGGAAAAATATATTCACATATAAGGCAGTGTGGTAGTTAAAAACAACAAAGGAATGTTCGTCTCATTGTTGTTCATTGATGCTTGTATGTATTGCAGTGGTATCAAAGTTGGTTAGTAAAAATAGTTTAACATAAACAGAACAACATAATGAAAAATTAGTTCAGTTAATTGATATTTATGATTATTATGAGTATGGATTTGTTCATAATTTGTCTTCAATATGAAATTCATTATTATTCATTCACTGATGCACATGTGTACTAATACTAAATGGTAAATGTCAGTCATTGTACAGTCTGTATTGTAATATGTTTTATCAGTTACATCTGCACTAATGCATAATTGACAGTAGGCAATTGGCTTTAAAAGCTAAACAAGAATTTAAGTGGACTGTTTAATGTAAGTAATCTTTTTATTGGATTATCAGAGTATAGCACTATAGTCTTGTCTGCAGACTTTAGCCAGCGGGGACAACAGCAATTTTCTGGGGGCTCCTGGTGAAACCAGCATATCAGTTTCAACTACAAGTGGGATACAAATGAAAACCAGAAAACTCTTGGAACAAAAATGACTGTTTCTTGTCTATAGAGTCTGCTTTATCTCTTGTTATATAAGGTTTGACACATAGCTGTAAAAAAGAAAATATTCTAACAAAGTATAGTGCCATTTCTACTGAATTCATTGACTATGAAACAAATCAGTACTGTGCATATAAAATTTAGTCCAGTTGTCTAATGTGTGGTCTTTTGCTTACTTTATTTATATCAGCATGACCCTCTGGGGGCGGGGAAGCTTTGTCTGCTGCAACAGCTGCGCTGTTGTGTTGACTTGAACTTCATTCTGCAGGTGTTTTTGATTGGTTGTCTTGCCAGCATATGTTTTAAAGCAGCAAAGATATTGTAAAAATCAAACGGCCGATGTTCACACACTGTTCTTGTATTTGCCGAGATTTACTGACATCTTAGACTTCAGCTGCTTTAACATTGTGCAGCAGAGTGGAGCATGATCCATATGTGTGTGTTAGAATAGAAGTTCTTTCTAAGCAGCAAGGTTGTGGGTTGTAGTAAGGCCTATATTAAAAGAATACTATACACATTGTATAAATTAATAAATAACTTGTGTTGCAATGTCTCACAGGCAGAGTGTCGGTGACAGTCCTTACCAAAAAACAGAGGAAGGAGCAAAAGAAGATGGACAGAAGGCACAAAGCCAACCAGCTGCGCAAGAATAAGAAAGACATGGTAATTTAAAATATCACATGATGGATCGCTGTTCTTAAATTCTTAATGTAACGAATCTGGAGTTGCTTGAGTTTCTTTCTCTCTTCCCAGGTCCTGACAGAAAAGCGACGTCTTGGCAGCAGGGATGGTCCTCCTCATTTGGTTGTTGTGGTGTCCCTACATGCTCAAGCCGATGCTGGAGCCATCACTAAGCTGCTTCGTGGAGAAGGCGCTGGGGGCGTTGTACACCACGACCGGTGCATCAGTGGTGTCAGTGACAGTTTTGGGCTGATTCTGCCTCGTTTTAAACAGAGGTTCACCTTTCTAAGTCAGAGTACAGGTAAGCATTAGAAAAGAGATTTCCTTTGGGAAAAAAAAAAAGTGAGCCAGAAGCACAAGTAGTGTTGCTTCTGTGATATCTATTGATGTAATTTTAGTTTATCAAATGTAAGAGACATTATAATTTGAGAATTTTGTTCATAGAATAAGTAAACATCCCTGGTAATACTGACACACTTGTGACATACTGTAGAACACCATAGAAGAATAAGAAGTTAAGTCAGATATGTTACTGTACTTCAGATACGATTTTTTTTTATCTATTTATATTTTGTGTTGTAAAATTGATGTTGTGTTCAGTAAATGACATTCTAAAACAAATATTTTAAAAATGTACTCGGTTTTTTGTGTGTGTGTCTTTAACACTTCTGTAATCTCTTTTTATAGCTGACATGCACTCCCTACTGGATGTGACAAAGATTGCAGATAGCCTTGTATTTGTGTTGGATTCTACTGAAGGCTGGGACACCTATGGAGACTATTGTCTCTCTTGCGTCTTTGCTCAGGGTCTCCCCAGCTATGGTAATTATAAATCTTTCTTTCTTTTTTCTTTTTTAATTTAATTGACTTCGTTTCTGATGTGCCTCTACTAAGCCCTTGTCTCTCTCCCATATTCAACCTACATAGCACTGGTGTGTCAGGGTGTGTCTGAGCTCCCTGTGAAGAAGAGGGTTGAGTCCAGAAGAGCTTTGTCAAAGATCACAGAGGCCCGTTTTCCTGATGCTCGTCTCTTCCCGCTGGACTCCGAACAAGATGCCACACTACTTCTCAGACACCTGGGGACTCAGAGACAGAGAAAGTTGGGTTTCCGCTCCAAACGGTCACATCTCATTGCTCAACATGTCACTTTTACACCCAACAACCCTGTTGATAGTACAAGTGGAGCCACTGGCCTGGGCACACTCTGTGTGTCCGGGTATGTCCGTGGCCGCCCTCTGCGGGTTGACAGACTGGTACACATCAGTGGTCATGGTGATTTTCAGCTCAGCCAGATTGATGCCCCAGTAGACCCTCTTCCTCTGAACTTAACAGTGTCCAGACCACTGAAGCCGAGCAAAGGAGGAGATGTTGACATGCAGGTAGTTGTTGCTGCTTTTTTTTTTAATACTTTAACTTTGCAAATGTACATGCAGACCTGATAGCGTATACTTTATTAAACAATAAATTATATAAATGACTTCATTTATTGCTCTACTGCATCACCAAAATTACAAATTTTGGGGGAGTTTTACCTAGCTTTGGACTTTTTTGATAAGTTGTATTATGGATATTTGTTTCTCACTTGTGGACTCAGGCATGCATTTTCCACACTATACAAAGCATAGCTCCAAACTTGAAGCATGGAAACCTGTTTAAGTTAGGTAATCCATTACAACTGTCAGCATCTGTTTTTATCAATGTAATATTACTGTTGCATAACAATTGGAATGTACCCGTGCTAAAACTCTGCATTTTCCCCACGCTGCTTTTAACCATTAAAACGAATTCAAAGTGAATATAATGAATGGTGGTCAGTTGGTTTAAATGCGAAGTGAAACTTTAACACCTTTAATTGTTTTGGAGTGTTAGTGCATCTAGTTTAGTTGATATGGGTCACATTTACCTGCTCATTTGCGTTTCCCACAGGAAAATGAGGCCCCTGTGAGGGTGCTCATGAAAGCGGACCCATCCAACAGGGAGAGTCTGCAGGCAGAGGCTGAGGTGGATCCCATGGACGGGGAGCAGACATGGCCAACAGAATCAGAACTGCTGGAAGCTGAAGGTGAAGAAACAGAATTTATAGATAATGCTTTCAGAAAATGATGATGACTAAGATACAAAATGACAGATCTTGTGTTAGAACAGTCACACTTGATTTGAAGTTACAACTATATCACTTTATACTTTCAAGTAGTGGGAAACTGTCTGACTGATGTAAATATATGTAACTTAATTGACAGTTTTAATAGACACAACAAACCAGTTAAACAAAGACTTTGCTATAATGTTATTGATGTACAGTAAAAATTTGGATGGTTACACATAGCTGAAGCAATTCAGTCATTTCTAGTAAATAGAAATGAGTAATGTGCTTTTCTTGATGCAAGAGTATACAGTTTATTGTGCCAGGAAAACACAGGATTCAAAGTTGTTTTTTGATGTTTCTCTCTTTAGAAGCCAGGAAGAAAAAACGTGTAATGAAGGTCCCTAAAGGAACATCAGACTATCAGGCCACGTGGATTGTTGATGAAGGTGAGGAGGAGAATGGCGACATGGATGAAGAAAGTAGTGACAACGATGATGATGATGACATGATGGATGAAGCCATGGATAAAGAGGATGGGGAGATTGACTCTCAGGTACACATTTAAAGTAATTTTGACATAAGTCTTTAATGACACAGTGAAGCAGAAGATAAATAAAATGCAAATATCAGTTAAAATTTTCCTTTTTTAAAACTTTTCACAAAAAAGACGGGTATAAAGTTTATAATGATATGACAGCCTAGCCTTGTAAAATGCGATACACTGAAAAGTGGGCATTAATTGAAATGGACATAAATAGTATATATATTTTTTTAAATAAAGCTCAGGTCAGGATATAATCTAAGCAGAGATGCTCAGACATCTCTTTGTTTAGCCAGCTCGTCTGTCTAGCTAGGTCTTGAGGTCTACTGGTTTGTTAACGAGGCGTTCCCAAGCCAGCCAAGATGTAGTCTGTCCAGCTTGTCCTCAGTCTACCTTGGTCTCTTCCTGGGTTGGACATTCAACTCACCTAGGAAGCATGCAGGAGATATCCTAGGCTCATGCCCTCACCATGTCAGCTAGCTCTTTTCAATGGAGGGGGAGAAGCAGCACGACTGTGAGTGACTCTGCTTTTCACCCTACCTTTAAGGCTGAGACCCCCTTTGGAGGAAACTAATTTCCCGTGCCTGTATCCCTGTTCTTACTGTTTCAGTAACTACAGCTTTGCCTTCCTGCTTAGCTCTCTTTGTAACAGCAGTCTGTTTCAGTGCAGATACTGCACTAATCCTCTTTCAACCTCTTGCTCAATTCTTCCCTGACTTGTGAGCAAGATTTAAAGATACTTGCTCTCAATGGGGCAGGTTCCTAACTTGGGGTGGACACGCCATGATTGAAGAAGTGCTCTGTTTCAAGCCATGAGGCCTGAGTAGGCTCAGACTAAAAAAACAACAACACACGAGTCTGCCTACCTGTGGGCGCACCACCAAAAATAAAAGCTGGATAATTTACCACTGTGGTAAGAATAATAAAGCGTGCTTACATGCTAAAATTGAATAATTCAGAGAAGCCCTTAGTCCGTAGTATCATATTTAATAAAACGTTTAACAGCACTTTACTGCAAAACAAGGTACAGTAAGTTACCAATTACTTAGATAACAACGCTTTCCATGGAAAATACCAGAGACTCACTACAGGATTCAGATGACTTGATTACGACAGGTTTTTCATTCTAGTATGGATGATGTAGAGGGTTTGTGTGTCAGTGATTGTACAAATGTTGTTATATTTGGAATTTTTCTTTCATTTCTCATTTAGTAGTTTGACCAGAAGTTCAGCCAGAACATACCTTTTATGGTTATTTTGTTGCGCGGGGTCGTGTTGTCATAGCAACAGTGTAGCTAAGGTCAGGCGGTGCAGTCCTGTGGAGGATGATGAGGATGGTAATTTGTGAAGAAGCAATAAAGTGTTGGCGGTTCCGGGGCTGAAGCGGTGCATACGTGACCCACAGGCAGTGCACCTCACTGCTGAGAGGCACTGTTTATTTTCTCAGTGTCTGACTCTGGCGTGTAGTGCCAGGCTGCTCACCACAACAATAGTGTTTGGAGCAGGAATCCCAAGAGAAGCCTCCTGTCTTCCTGTCTTGTGAACAGAACTTCCTGTCTGGACGAAGGGAGGGGTTGGCCATTTATTTATTTCCCACTCCGCTTGAAAAGAAGTCAGGGAAACTTTCCTTATGCAACAGGTTCATTACGATCTGTGATTGTTATTAGCATGCATTTGATGTCAAGGTTAGCGCACAGGCATACGTATCTAGACGAAGGTAACAATAGTGGAAAGGGTACTTCAAATGATAATGATTATTATTACTATTGCAGCAAGGATGTTGGAAAGGTTGTGTATCAGCCGCATGCTGAGAGCTTTCCGCTCTTGCGTCTGGCTTCTCCTGTAATTTGCCAGCCAAGGGAGCACAGCAAAGCATGTCTTCTTTGATGATTCATTTCCTTATCCAAATATGTTGCCCTTGGATGCTCAATTTCTAGATATTGTTTTAAGAGTGGATGTCTTGCACTGGAGAGTGTCGTTACGTAACACACTGAATTCAAATGCATGCAAAGCAGGGATTCCCATAGTTTGAATTCGGGCAATTGCTTATCCCATTCACACATACAAGGCCCCTCAGTGCTGTTTGTTTATTGTGGCAGAGTTGTTGGTTATGTTACATAAATATTTTCTATAATTAGGATCGTTTTGATGTCATTTGTTTTCCTGCCATTTGTGTCTGGTTATTGTTAATACTGGCAGCAACTAACAAAGTAAGTGTTTTGTAATAGTAGGACAACAATATTGTACATTACAGCAAGAGAACATTATCCAGGAGTAAGGCTGGGCGATTTTGTTTTTTGGCTATATCATGATATATGATATATACCACGATATGTTTAACTAGCCTCCAAAAACAAATGTTATATTCAACCATATATATCATTCATACAGTCACTGTCTGTGGTCAACACAGACCTTTTTTTTTGTCGTATGGGATCACTTTGGCAAACGAAGACGCCAGTGTCATCTGCGTCATGGCTGGTTTATTTCGAGTTTTCTGTGGTGTGTGGGGAGATGTTGACATGCGGACTTTAAAACATTCTTCATTTTGCAATGGATGACTTCTCAGGTGGTGGAATAAATTTGTGGTGCTGCGACCTTTTGTGGCAATGGTTTTATGCCATGTTTTGCAAATTATGGCATTTTGTTTGACATGCTCCTTTTGAAAACCAAACCACTGCCAGTAAATGTTTCTCTTTGGAACTAGCTCGTCCGACTCGTCTTCAGTTACAGTCTCATTCACTTCCTCGTCTGAAACTCCGGCTGTCACCATATTTTTTCTTATAAGGTAGAATATAAACACGCATGCTCAGCGCAGTGTGCCGTGCAGAAAACCTTCTGCTTTGGAGGGAGGATTAGTCATGCAGTCGCTCCAAAAAAACCTCTGAAAAGCTTAATATTGCCAGGGCAGTTCATACTCAATGGTTCCAATAGACCCATTTTAACCATCGTACGTGGAAAAACTTTTGATACATGAAGTATATTCAATATATCGCCCATGCCTACCCAGGACACCTGTTTAACTCAGTATATTAGGATTAGAAGCTCAGGGTTTTAAAAAGAGGGAGCCAGACTCACAGCTGGTAAAAGGTTATTTAAACATGTTTTCAGTGGTCTTGTAATTTGAAAATATAGTTTGTTTGTTATCTGAGTTATATCTACTATATAATGCTGAAATTTGGCCTTGGCACAGAAAATTCCATATAAAATTTTGTTTGGGTGGCAAAAATGTCAGAGACAGATGTCTTAAAGTCAAGGCCAACCAAACTAAAACTACTGTGAGGCTAGCCGTATTCCCCTTGTGGCCCATGGCCTTCCTTCCTTCCTTGAATTAACCAATAGTGTTATCTCTGTCACTGCATTTGCTGTTAGTAAATGCCAAAGCATCAAAGCTTCTTCACTGATCACTAAAAATGAGTACAATGATTGTTGTGTTTCTGGTCAGAGAGCAGCTTGCATTCTTTGTTCAAACCTCTTGTACTAAATTTGTCCTGTGTCCTCTCTGCCCAGGACCCAGGTTCATGCTGTGATTCAGAAGAGGAGGAGGAGGAAGAGGTGTGCTCCACAGAGCGAGCGGGTGCAGATCAGCGCTATGATGAACATATGGATGAAGCTGCCGAAGAAGAAGGCCTAAAACGCTACCGTGACGCTCGAGCCAATGAAATGTTCCCCGATGAGGTGGACACGCCCCTCGACACTCCAGCTAGAATCAGGTCAGTAGCGTTTCTTTTATGCTTTTTGTTTCTTTTACATTTCCTTTTGGGATGGAATATTTATTGTTTCCTGTTTGTTTGGGTTGCCGTCCTGTTCTCGCAGGTTCCAGCGTTACAGGGGGTTAAAAAGTTTCCGCTCGTCACCTTGGGACCCCATGGAAAACTTGCCCCTCGACTATTCGCGTATATTCCAGTTCCAGAGCTTTGAACGCACTCGCCGCCGCATATTGGCTGAGGCTGCAGCTGAGGAGGATGGAGCCATGGTAAAGTAGACAACAGTAGTTGTCTTCAGCTGTAAATGCTCTCATGTTTAACCATAATTTTTGGCATCACTCACTCTGCTGTCCTCCACGTTTCAGGATGGCTGGTATGTGACCCTGCACATCATTGATGTGCCTTTTTCTGTGATGGAGAGTGTCCAGTCAGGCAAACCTCTGGTTCTCGTGTCTCTCTTGCCCCATGAACAGAAGGTATTCACATCTGAAAATGTTTCCTTTTCGTAAGAAAAGCTGCACCAGCTACACAGAATAATTTTTGCTGACCTCATGTTTTTTTCTTCTGTGCATAGATGTCAGTCATGCATGTTTTGGTGCAGAGACACCCCAGTAACACAGAACCGATCAAATCTAAAGAGGAGCTTGTGTTCCATTGTGGATTTCGGAGATTCCGAGCCTCTCCCATCTTCTCTCAACACACATCAGGTAGAAAACCTGCTGAATTCATCCAGTACATTCATCAGAACAAACGGCAGTAGTGATCCTACATAAACAAACTTAAATCAAACGCATTGCCAGAGATGTATCAATTCAGGGCTAAGGGCTTGTAACGTCCAACTTCCTGCATTCTTGACTGACCGGTAACTGACTGATCAGTCTAACTAACATATCGTTTATTGTTTGGCTATAGCTATCAAGAAGAGATAAAGCTTGCCAAACTAAGTCACAAACCACCATAATGTTTGTAACAACAAACCAAATCAAACAGTTAAATCGCCCTCACCGAGCTGAACATGGGCATTTTAAATAAGCTAACAAAGTAACGTGGTTAAAGCGAAAACTATCCAGAGTTTAGAGCTAGCCGCAAGCTAGCAGCCTCGGTATGAGCAAAAGAGCCAACCAGTTATGACAAAAATTATGGAGATGAGAGAAAAGGATATCCTGTTATCTGGTGAGTTTATAAACACTTGAAAATTATACAAGAACCTGACATTTGCTTTGTTGTATAAATATGTTGTACCTGCTTCTGTTTGCCAAGGTAAAATATGTCAGATAAAGGTGGATGTACAGCAGGTCGTTTTGCCTCTTTGCAAAAGCAGAGCACTTTATTTTCACTTGTTTCACTGAGAGAAGTTCCTGTAACTTACTGCAGTTGAGGGCAAAAATCGGTTAAAAAATACAACAACAAAAAAAATCAGATATCATAACCAGCCAACATGCAGACTAAATGCAGTGTTTTAACATCTGGTTCATATTACAAGTACATCTTGTAATATTGAAACACACCTGGTGCTAATCTAGTATCTATTATTCCACGAATTTAGTTATGATGGGTCACCTGGAACTCGGTGGGTTCATTGTACCACTTGATTTATTTATTTATTTTTTTATGATGTTGAGACGGTGTCCTTAAACAGAACCACCTCTATGCATTTGCATTACGGGAGTGCTATTACTGTAATATTTGTTGTTATAATGCTGAGCTGTGTTCTTTTGGAAAAAATGTATAAAAAGGTATCATCCAGTAAAAACCAGAAACTTAACCTTTATTATTAAAATAACCTTTTCATTATTATTATTATTATTATTATTATTATTATTATTGACATCTTAATTAAGATGTGTCGATCTTAAGCTGAAAAAGTCAGAAACTGAAAAATGTCTTTCCACCATGTAAGGTCGACTTTTGGTTCTTTACAAAACAAGAACTGTTAATCAAGTTACTTTATTAGTATAATGATCTTAAAAGCTACTTCTGGAAACAAGATATCTGTTGGGTATATATTATTATTATTATTATTATTATTATTAATAAAATCTTTTTTTTTCCCTCCACCTTTTTTTCTAGCTGACAAGCATAAGATGGAGCGCTTCCTCAGACCAGATGCCCCCATTGTAGTGTCACTGTATGCCCCCATCACCTTCCCCCCTTCAGGAGTCCTGCTTTTTAAGCAAAGGAATGATGGTGAGATGGAAAGTCCTGTTTACGTCAACACGAGTAAATTGAATTAGTGGCCTGGCTGCCCTCAAGTTAAACTTTAGACCATTCATCCTGTTGGTGGTTTTGATTAATTATCCACTTAAGCAAATTCTGTACTGGCCTTTGAGCACGTGTTCTTCTTACTGTGTCTTTCTAGGCATCCAGGACCTTGTGGCTACAGGCAGTCTGCTCAGTTGTGACCCTCAGCGTGTTGTGCTGAAGAGGATTGTTCTGAGTGGACACCCATTCAAAATTAACAGGCGCTCTGCTGTTGTTCGTTACATGTTCTTTAACAGGGGTGAGAGGACGTTCTCATACTGTTATTACTGTCACTGCAGACATAATTCCTAATTTTTTCATTAAAATTTTCTTGACTTTCTTTTACAGATGATATCATGTGGTTCAAGCCAGTGGAGCTGCGAACAAAATGGGGTCGGAGAGGTCACATCAAAGAGGCCTTAGGTGAGAAAATTTAAGAATAAAACCCTGTGTCTCTGTGCCTTATTTGCTGTGGATTCTCACTGCCATTTCTTATTTTTCAGGAACACACGGTCACATGAAATGCGTGTTTGACAATCAGCTACGCTCTCAAGACACTGTGCTGATGAATTTGTACAAGAGAGTGTATCCTCGGTGGACGTATGACCCCTATGTGCCCGCGCCTTTAACTTGGGTGAAGAGAGAAGGCACTGTGGAAATGGAAGACTTGGATATGGAATAGTGGAGGGACAGAATGACAAGCCATGTAATAACAGAAACATCCAAGTGGTTTCAGGACACTTTAAAAGAGTGGAATGCGTATTAAATAAATCTATTTTGATCCAAAGTTAAGCTTTCTTGTTACATTTTGCATCCAAGCCTCAAACATGCTGCAGAGTTTGTTTTGACCACTAGATGGCAGGAATGGATAAGTATTAATAAAGCTTCCTACGTGTTTGTAGAGCATTTCACTTTTTCTTTTTTCCTAAATGGGTAAAAAAGATTTGAGTCACTGCCTCTAAACAAATAGTTGAGTTGCACTGAGTGCTTTATGATTAAACAAATCTGAGAGCTGGTACCACGACGACTGGGTGAGTTCAGTAATTTAACATTAGGCATGTATCGAGCTCATTACATGGGCAACTCTTTGAAGTCATGCATGTGTGGCTTAATGCCTACGCACATTAAAATGTAGAAAGCTAGGACGAAATTATGTATTGATAATGACCGAGATACGTGAGGAACTTTAATCATGGAAAGAGAACTCCCAAGTCGCACTTTTAAGGAAAAGTTCTTTTCTGTAATCGCTTAATGAAATGCTGTTTAAGATTTAGAAAAATCACAGCTTTGAGCATTATTTATGTTATCTTTTATCATACACATGCCTCAGTATAGTTTACTTAAAAATATAGGCTGAAGAACTAATAAATGACTTGAATTTTAGCACAGAGTGAAACAACAATGGTGCACACACACACACACACACACACACACACTCTGGCAGTTTGGCTCTTCATGGTGGTCTTGCCCTGACCTGTAGCCTTCTTTTCAGTTCTAGTCAACACACACACACACGGATCATAACCCCTGTTAATTTGAAACTAAAGCTGAAATGCTCTACACTTTTGCGTCCTCCCCTGCGCCGTACTTGCTTTCTTCGGAGAACGCTGATTTATGAATTGCAATATTTATCGTAAAAACTGAGCCCCTGCATGCCTGCAGCAACATGATTCATCCGTGGACTCTGTTGGGATTGCACCATAAAGGCAAGCCAGTGTGTCTGGGAAACCTGAAGGTGAAGTCTTTTGGATGAAGTGGAGAACATGATCCAAGAAAAGAAGATGGAGGGAGGCAAAAAAGTTCACCCTGAGCATTTTTGTTTGAAAACAGTGGAAAAAAAATTACATAAATTGAAAAAAAGACAATGCAAGAAAGACAAATGTCCCTACTATTTTTGGAGCCAGGGAAGGTGGGAGCACTGGACAGTTTTGAGGTTACACTTCATATATTTAGTACCTCACTATGGATTCCTACAGGGGCACAGCAACAGTGATGTGTTGAACACATCTTGTTCAGGCTGAGAGGCAGAGAGTATGCTCTGCCGCTAAAGGGGAGGGGGACTTCAATACCCCGATGATGGAGAACGCTCTTACACTAACACATACAAAAATGGAACTGTATTTAGATGCGTGCACTACATTTTTCCCTGACACTATCAATTTGAAACAGATAAACATTTAGCTGTTTGGGGACCAACTGCGACGTGGTAAGACTGAATCCAGCCCATAAGTGAAGTGTGTGCTTGGCAAAGGCCACCCTCTGAAGACTTGAATGCTGGTGACTTAGTGCTGTTTGGATCAGGAATGTCTTGTGGTTCCCAGTTCACTGCCACCACACTCAGTTGGCTCTCACAGAAGATATAATGGGTGAGAGATTTTTCCGTTGGATGTGGATAAAGAAACGGAAGGAGAGAAAAGGGGCAGCGAGGGAGTGAGAGATAAGGGAAGAACTAGTTGATGTTCTGCCTGAATAAAGCCAGAAGTGGTGGGAGGAAGCAGTCAAAGGAATGTTAAAAAAAAAAAAAAAGGGGGGATGCATAGAATTTGGAAATTAAAATAAAACATTAGTGGGTGAGAGAGCCAGTGAGAGAGAGAGTGAAATGGAGGAGTGTGAGAGTCTGAGGCGGTGTGGGCGAGGGAGTAAGGAGAGCGAGAGTGGCTGGCGTTTATGGATTGCAGATGTGGCGCTATGGGGTTTTGGCAGGGGCCATGCGCGCCTGAATCCTGCACCGGCTGGGTGGCACCGGGGTGAGAGCGAGGTCACCGCACCGCAGCACACAGCCCATAAAACACTGACTAGTGGGGGGAACGAGAGAAGGAGAAGGTAGGCCTCAAACGCACACTAAGCCGGGACTGCGTTGCGGAGTGGGTGAGCAGATTACATTTGGGGTGCAATCACACACAAGCAGACCCAAGCAAGAGTCAGGCTTGGGTCAAGTCATATGTTAATAAAGCTCGGAGCTGATGAGCTTATCTCAGATACAAAAGATGAGCTTTCTGTAAATAAACTCTATCTGCCCCACCCATCAACTATGACAAGTCACACCATCTCTTCTGTTGACAGAAAACTTTCTGCACTTAATGCTAAATTTAGTTTATACAGTACAAAGGAGCAGCAAGCTAGCCAAGTGTAGACCAAAAGTGTTCAACTCGTGGTTTTTCTCATAGGCTCATCCTGTAAAGTTTGCCATTTCTCATGCCATCCTCAGGCCAACCTCACTGGATCTGGTCCAAGCAAAAATGCTTATTAAAAAAAATGAGAAACTGTACTTGTTTTATTTTATTTCTTTGCCAAACTCATTGGAGTTACAGTTCTGAGAATGAACAATATGACTGCAATAATTTGCCTCAAGTAGGCCTATTTAAGTTTTAATGGAGCAGAGAGTGTTGCTGACACACTCTGCGCACAGATATATTTGATTAGTAACCTTAGGTTTATCATACGTGTACAGTAATTGGCAAGCATCTTTAGATGACCTGTGTATACATATGGCACTATGTACACTCTGAGCAGCACACAGTACATATGGTTTACTGCAAATTAAACTTTACTTACAGCAAAATTTTAAAAGTGGGATATGAGGCAGTCATTAGCTGCCTTTGCGTGTTTACAGGGGAAAAATGTTCTGTAATCAAGTAGATATTGGCAAAAATTATTTTGGCACAATTTTCTAAGGCACTCTTTAGAAACAATGCTGCCTACGTGCTATGGAGCTTATTTGCTTGAGTAATAGTGAGATTTAGTATAAAGTTATCGTTATTATGTGTATTATCGCTCGCACATCTGAATATTTAAATTTGACTAATTATTTTATTTTTGCTTAAATATTTTCCATCCATCGATTTTCCTAACCCCTTGTCCAAATGCAGCTTGCAGAGAAGCTGAAGCATATCACAGGTGTTCTAATTTTTATAAAGTATTAAGCACAAAAAATAAATAAATTGAAGCTCACTTACATATGAAATATAAATGAGTTTTCACGCATGCTTTTGTTGATCAAAAACACAATGCAGATGCCTAAAAACGATTAAAAAACATTCCAGTAAAATGTTAATATGTTTTCAAAAAACAAAAAAAGATTATCCGGCTTTTAAGTAATATTAATATTGTGCCAACTCAGAGCTGAGTATGTTTTTGATGCATTGTAAAACCAAATGACAGCACCAGTATTAAATTAAAAAACACACTTTATCAAATGTTTTGGAAAAATTATGCTTTTTGTAACATTTTCATAAACGTTTGATGAACATCTCACATGCTCCCCTGTTTTTGTAGGTGCTGCCTGACAATACTTGCATATTAGGTCAGCTCTGTTTTTCTCTTTCTTTTGTGTTATCCTTCCTTCCCTCTGTTGTTCCCCTTTTTCTCCCTCTTAGCCTGGTCCTGACTCCCTGGTTCCTGGGGCTTGGCCAAGGCTCGTGTCCCCGGAGGAGCCAGAGAGGAGATGGAGAGGGGGCAGCAAGGGGGTGCTGAGACTGACTCCAAAACCACAGCTGCAGCAGCAGCCCCTCCTCTCCTCTCCTC